TTTTATTTTTTAAAAGATTTTATTTATTTGAGAGAGAGAGAGCACAAACAGGGGGAGCAGCAGAGGGAGAGGGAGAAGCAGGCTCTCCACTGAACAGGGAGCCCGATGTGGGGCTTGATCCCAGGACGCTGCGATCATGACCTGAGCCACCCAAGCGCCCTAGCTTTTTTTTTTTTTTTTTTTAAAAAGATTATTTATTTGAGACAGAGTGTATGAGCGGGGGAAGGTGGGTGGAGGCAGAAGGAAAGGGAGAGAATCTTAAGCAGACTCTGCACTGAGCTTGGAGCCCAGTGCAGGGCTCGATCTCACGACCTTGAGATCATAACCTGAGCCAAAATCAAGACTCCGATGCTTAACCAAAGACTGAGCCACCCAGGGGCCCCTGCCATGTGAAGTTTTTAATTGAAAATACTTTGTAAATATTAGAAAGCATATTGCCCAAGAAGTAAAATTTGAGATAAAGGTCAATTTAAAAGAAGAGGTCCTCTATCAGTAATTCATTCAACTGGGATGCCTTGGGTGGCTCAGTTGGTTAAGCAACTGCCTTCAGCTCGGGTCATGATCCCAGGGTCCTGGGATCGAGTCCCGCATTGGGCTCCCTGCTCAGCGGGGAGCCTGCTTCTCCCTCTGCCTTCTCTGCCTGCTGCTCCCCCTGCTTGTGCTCTCTCTCTCTCTGACAAATAAATTTAAAAAAATAATTCATTCAACCAACAATATATATTAAGTCAATAGGTGGGGTGCCTGGGTGACTCAGTCGGTTAAGCATCTGCCTTCAGCTCAGGTCATGATCCCAGGGTCCTGGGATCGAGCCCTGTGTTGGGGCTCCCTGCTCAGAGAGTCTGCTTCTCCTTCTCCCTCTACCCTTCCTCTGCTTGTGCTCTCTCTCTCACTCACTCTCTCAAATAAATAAAATATTAAAAAAAAAGATATGACTGATCATGATCACTCATAATTTAAAAAATTACTATGACATTGACTTAAAAATATGTCATTTTTTAGACTTTCTACCCAACTGCAGAAAAAGCATTGGTTTCTGAGCCATTGGTTCTTCAGCAGTGACAATGAAAATATGTTTCCACTTCAAAACAAACAACATTAGATGTAGCTTCCTGGCTTATCACACCTGCCTTGTCTACTCTCAGGGCTGTCTTGAGGCATCTGAGAGGTAGGTGTAGAAGCACTTCGAAAACCACAAAGTGCCATAACAATATGTTACATGCATGCATTCATGTGTGAATCTTCTGATTAATTGTATACTTGAGATGTTTTGTCAGAAGACATTTTGCTACGTGAGTTTATAGATTGGAATAGGCCAAATTTGTGACTGGGTCAAGGAGAACATTTAAATCCAGCAAGGCCTTGCTGGTAGTAAAATTATAGAGTGAATGGGTGGTAGGAAGTAAGGCTAGAGTGTTGGTGCCTTAGAATACGAATAGAAATGACAGATCTGAACATTTTCTTTGTTTAGTATCCAGCCTATTTGTTCTTTCATCAATATTTATTGGGCACCTAGTAAAGACTAGGCATAATTTTAGAAATCACTGTTGTTCACAATAAGTAAGACAAGGTACTGTTGTCCTCCAGGAGTTTACTGGGGAAGACAGTTAGAGACAAGGTGTAACATAGGATAATAAATGTTTGTATTTTGCAATGTACCACATAACTGACCTTGCCAAAAAAAGTATGATCTTGGTTAGATTTTTTTCTAATTTAAATATATTAATGTTCTCATGATCAACTTTTTAAACTTTAAAAAATATTATAAAATACTTAAAATATTTTGAGATATGGAACACATATACTGTATTTTAAATGCATAATTTATAGTTTATATATTGAATCCTAGTTATATTTAATATTCAGCTACATTTGTTTTATATGTGTATGTTTAGATAACCTTAATTATCTAAAATATGAGTCTCTTTTACTTGGTGAGCCATCTGAACATTCCCTATCTGACTACATTAATATTAGAGAGCTCTTCAAGGAAGGGCATCACTGCTGTCACTTTGATGTTAGTCCTTGGTGCTAGTATTTCTTCAGAGCAGAAACCTGATTTTGAATCCTAGCTCTGCCATTTAGTAACTGTGAAACTTATTTGTGCCTCAGTTTCAATGTCTGTGAAATGGGAATAAAGATAATGCCTAACCCATCATTGTGAGAAGTGAATGAGTTAATATGTGTGAGAGTGCTTAGATGAGTGTCTGGCACACATTTAAAACCGTATCAATGCCATCAGCAGCTATCCTCATCATTGTTATTGTTATTATTTGACACAATGAGGTGAGGAAGGTTAAGAATGGACTTTCTCCTCTCAAGCCCTGAAAATTCCTCAAAACTAAAGGTAGAAAGATAAAAAGAAGGGAAAGAAGGGAGCTAAACCTTTGTTGATCATCAGCTATGTGCCAGGCAGTGACCTAGCATTTACCTACATTCTCATTTAGTCCTTACACCAGTGCCCTGAAGTATATTCGAAAACAGGCTCAGACAAATTAAGAAACTTGCATAAGGTCTTGTACTAGTAAGTGGACACCATGATGATAACTGGTCTTTGCTATTCTGCATCCTGTACTCTCGCCTTGCATGACACCAGAAAACGTGAGAATTCAAGAAGTTTCACTAGGAGGTAAGCTTGAAATTTGCTTGTTAGGGACTTCATTTTTAATGACAATTTAAAGGATGTCATCAACATTTTGAGTTTGTTCCTACTGTAGCAATTTGTTTTAGGTATCTGTAATTCCACCCCCCCCCATTCAAAAGTATATTGCAGTAGTCTAAATGATGTAAGTGTAACCTAGATGGCAAATATTTGGACACACAGAATCTTAGTAATAAGTTTTCAGAATTAAGTCGAATTATAATTTCCCAATTTTCAAGATCACTATTGTAATTATTTAAGTCATTACTCCTGAGGTCTATAGCTATTTCATAGGGCTTTTAAGCCTAAACTCCATGTAGCTACATATCCTAGGTACTGATCCTTTTTTTGAATTTATAAATAAAATTCATGAAATTGCTTTTCTTTTGCTGTATATTAGCCCAACCTTATGAATTGTTTCCCCCATAGGTAATAGAGAAGAGGAAACCTAATCAATGGCTATGGAATGATATGGAAGAAGACAGAAAAAACTTGTTTAATGGGTAAGAAGTAAAACTATAATAAAAAGATTAATGAAAAGTATTCATAATAGTGTTATGTATGGCCAATCTGTAATCCATGGCCAAGATTGGTATACCATTAGGGTGAGTGATCAGTCACCATATTGGTATTATCCCCATTCTGAACTTTCTCCACCTCCTTCCTTCTTACCGTTGTGAATTTCTCAGTAGTATGAGTTAACTTAAGCTAAGAGGGGACACAGCTCTATTTGAAGATAAAAGTAGGATCTGGAGATCAGCAACCATTCTAAAAAACAGGTTTAGGGTAGGGCTTGAAGCTTATTGGTGGTTGGATTGTCATTTTCCAAATCCTGCCAGTTGCTGTGATGTTAGGCTTACTGTGGCGGTCCTGTTCATTTAAGCAAGTGCAGATCGTGTCAATGGAATACCACAGAAAGCCTGATAAAACTGTGCCTAAAGTTATGAGATAGGAAATGTTTTAATACTATAAGTTCATAGATTCTTTTTTTTTTTTTTTAAGATTTTATTTATTTATTTGACAGCAAGCACAAGCAGGGGGAGCAGCAGAGGGAGAGGGAGAAGCAGGCTCCCCGAGGAGCAGGGAGCCCGATGCCTGGCTCAATCCCAGGACCCTGGGATCATGACCTGAGCCGAAGGCAGACACTTAACCAACTGAGCCACCCAGGCGCCCCAAGTCCATACATTCTTATTGTCAATAGATAACCAAAACCCTCTCCCTAAAATTTAGTCCCCTCCCAGGGTATATAAGTGTATGACATGTATTTGTGCAACCTTCTTCTTTGCCTAATGATTAAAAACTTGGGTTTAGAAGCCAGACTGTTTTTGATTAGGCATCATTAACTTGACATTTGGGCAGCTTAATTTCTTAATGAACTTAATTCCTTGGGTATAAGTGGGGACAGTAAAATTCCTGTCTCGTCGTGATGTTGAGGATTAATTGGATAATACATCTAAAAAACTTGGAATAATGCCCGAAACATAGTAAGTGTTAAATAAATGTTAGCTATAATTCTCATATGTATTCTAGTTAGCACTTTTATGTGCCAGCCCTCCACAGATGAATCTTTTTCTGCTATACTGCAGGAGTTAAGCTATCTTGGATAAGGTTAACCCTGGTGGCAAGGATTTTTTAAATTTTCATGAAAGTTTTCTTTTTGGCTTCAAGCTTCGATTCTCTCAGAGTATGCTGCTAGGCTACGTGTGAGAACAGAGTTATACACATTCAGCTCTTCCTGCGTATATAGTGGTATATACAATGATGCATGAATAAAAACTATCTTCTGGGGGCGCCTGGG